CCATTGATTTGGATCCTACGCTTTGGAGCAGGAGAAAAACACATCTTCCATGTGACAGCCCTATAGATATTTGAAGATGGCTATCATATCTCAGTCTCCTCTTTTCCAGGCTAAACATACCCAAGACCTTCAACAGTTCCTCATAAGCATGGGTAGGCAAACTAAGGCCCAGGGGCCGGATCCAGCCCAATCACCTTCTAAATCCGGCCTGCGGAAATTAATGAATGTTAGAAGGATGCTGGAATGAAGTTATATGGCTCTAGCAGAAATATAAAGAATTAAGTAAAAATAGAATGTTAATGGGTCAAAGTGGAAATTTAAGGTTAGATTGTGATAAGATAAATTATAGAACAAAAATTAAGAAAGATGGAAAGGATTTGCTGAAATAGTTAATTGAACAAGAATACAAAAAAGGGAGGTGTGAGGAAGTCGACAATATAAGAGATACTGGATGTGTTTTTAAATGTTTTTGTTTCTTTTGTTGGTTCGCTGTGTTGTTTTTAGTTTTTTCCTTTTATTTTTGATGTATTGTGAACTTTTTATTGTTTTTTTTGTTTTTCTTTCTTTATTCTGTAACTATTAAACCCTTAATAAATATTTTTTTTAAAAAATTAATAAATCCGGCCTGCGGACGGTCTGAGAATCAGTGTGTTTTTACATAAGTAGATTGTGTCCTTTTATTAAAAATGCACCTCTGGCTTATTTGTGGGGACTGCCTGGTGTATTTACATGAGTAGAATGTGTGCTTTTATTTAAAATACATCTCTGGATTATTTGTGGGGCATAGGAATTCATTCATATATATTTTTTTCCAAAATATAGTCTGGCCCCCCACAAGGTCTGAGGACAGTGGACCTTCCCCCCTGCTGAAAATGTTTGCTGACCCCTGCTCATAAGACTTGGTTTCCACATGACTAGATGACCCTCATGGTCTCTTCCAACTCTTCAATTTTATGATTTCCTTCCCTCTGCTCTTCTGTTTCTTTCCCCTAACTGATATGAAGCATTTTGTAGTCACTGAGCATGCTCAGTTCTCATTAGGTTGAGGTGGGGTTTTTTGGGGGGGGGGCTGCTCCTCTAGTTCCCCTTCCCCACTTTTTCAACCTGATACATCCCTCCACTTCTCATTGGCCCTGGTTTGGGTCCTGTTGGTATTCACATCTGGCGTTTTAATATTTAAAGGTATACAGAGACAAGACGTGTTTGGGGGCCCTTGGTGGGAAGACAGTAATGAGGTAGCTGTGGATTCTTCACAGAAAAGAGCGCAAACCTCTTTCTACAGTGGTTTATACTCTCAGGCAATGATGCAACTGGACTCCTGTGTTTTGACTGCGCTGTTTTTATTTGATTTCGAGATTGAGTAAAGCGAACCCCCGAGTCTGCTGGCAGCCTGCCCAACTACCTAAGCAAACTCTTGAGCTTCCAGGAGGGGAAGGGTTTTCACTGCTGATTGGAAATTAAAATAAAATGAAATGGGCTTTGCTGATTAAAAAATAAAATGGATGTTCTCCCCTTAGCATGACTCTTGAGCTAGGTAGCCATGATCCTGTTCAGCTATATGATATCCCATCTCCACAGTCTGGCTGCAGCACTATGTGGTAGATCTTGCTGTAAATAAGGTGTTGTGGTGAGCCGGTGGGATATTCATAAAATCACCATAGTTTTGTGTTTTACATCACCTCCCCCCCCCCCCACAATGCTTGTCGCAGTGCTGGAGAACTGGAAGGCACAGCATTCAAAGAACCAGAAGCTGGGGCTGCAGCAAAATGTTGAAGTGTAGTGTTGTCTTGTACAGTCTGCCAGCTCCCATGAATCTCCAGTTCCATTTTTGCTTGTTTCTCCCTTACTCCCTGCCCCCCCCCCCACATTTTTTATTGATACCTCTACAGTGCTGTGATTTGCCTAGTGTTCTGATATCTCCCTCTCTCCTTTTTCTGCTTTTGGTCCTATCGGCACTCACCTGCTAAAATCAATATTAGAAGGAGCGATCTCTGGTACCGGGTGGGAAGTAGGGAGGAAACTCTCCTCCCAAAGTTCACAGAAACTGGTCAGGTTGCACCAAGGATGGGAAAGTGATGTTGCCATTTAAAAGAGGGGAAATGAAAATTTTTGGGTTACACACTCTGCTAACCTGGAAGTAGTACCTTGGGTTAAGAACTTTACCTCAGGATGAGAACAGAAATCGTGTGGTGGTGGTACGGCAGTGGGAGGCCCCATTAGCTAAAGTGGTGCCTCAGGTTAAGAACGGTTTCAGGTTAAGAATGGACTTCTGGAACGAATTAAGTTTGTAACCAGAGGTACCACTGTATTATGCTCTGTTCTCCACCTTTATAAATCAGCCAGCAAATTTTGCATTTTACAAGTCCACAGAAAAATTCACCATCATTTTGGTGTGAATTTCTGCTCATGTTTTTCTGCTCATTTTTGTATGCAGTCTTACAAAATATACACATTTTTGCAAAGTGGTTTCTTATAATACATGCAATACATTTCTGTCTGTTAATTTTCACTGATATATGTATACTGTATATATGCCCTTCACTGATTTATATGCCCTTTACTGCATCATATGTGTTTTTGCACACATTTCTTGGTCAAATGTCTGCATTTTTAAGTTCAGAAGTGTGAATTTCAAAGGATGGCCGTGCTTCATAGCACTCGTGGACTTCCAAGGAAGCTGACTTTTGGAAGGCTATGCTGTGCATAGTCATAAACTGTGGAACTCATTCCCATAGGAAGCAGTAATGGCTACCAACCTAGATGGCTTTAAAAGATCAGACAAATTCATGGAGGAGAGCAGTGGCGTAGCACTATTTGCCGGCGCCCAGGGCAGGACAGAACACACTAACCCTGCCCTCGCCACCGCCGCTGGGTGGGAAGAGGGTGAGCACTCTCCGCACCCTGTCCCTGTCCAGCACAAGGGTCCAACTGTCTTGTCGCCCAGGGGGCCTTGTCTGGGCATACCAGGACTTCCATACACACTGGCCAGGCTCACACCCCGGGGAAGTCACTTTGCTTGCCCTGGATGTGTGAGGTCAGTCTGACCCCACCCATCAGCAAGGGAATAGGGGCTATTGGATTGGTTGTTTATCTATAAGCAGTGGTTCCCAACCTTTTCTTGGCTATGCCCCACCTAAGCATCTCTAAAATCCTGATCCCCTCCCCCCGTGACATATAATTCTTATTATTCAAAAAGTGAACTCCTATTCACGTGGAGGATGCCTAAAGGGCCATTACACTGCTGGTAACTCATTCTCAAAGTGCCCAAACTTAAAAATCAAATTGCCCCCCTGTGAGGTGTGTGCCCCACGTTGGGAACCACAGATCTATAGGTGGTGATTTTTTTTGTTTTGTTTTTTGGACTACCTGTTGTCTGCAGTGTTGGAGGAGGCGGCAGCTGGATTTCACACACCGAGATGATCTAGCAAGACAAAACTTGGGCTTTTAAGTTTCTAGCCCACATTAAGGATTCTCTGCATGGTGTGGGTCCAACTGCAGGTAGGTGGCTCCCAAACCTTGCTGCAAGTACACAGAAGATCCTGAAATCTCACTGATGTCAATGGAATGTCCCTGTTTCTAACTTCTCGTTGATCAATCACCAAGGCAATCTGATGCATATTTACTCAGAGGTAAGCCCTCTGGGCCTTATTCCCAGGTTAGGGATGTGTTGGTTTGCAGCCTGCACCACCGCTTTATTTTTCTATTTAAAGGCCCGTCTGTGGGGTCAGAACGGCAGGAATATTCCTTTTCGGGTCACTTCCTCTTGAAACGAACCAGGAGGCAAAAAGTTCAGCTTAACACACGCCCAGCATTGGAGGGGAGCTGAGGTCGTGGCAGAGGAACTGGAAAAAATGTGAAAGGAATGTGGCAAGACATTCAGAATCAAAGGGAGCAAAATGAAAACCAGATGCTTCTCTCGCTCTCTCTCTTTGGACATGCATAAGTCTTAATCCTTACATAGGATTTCCAGGGTGATGTATGGAAGGGCCCATAGCTCAGCGGCAGAGCATCTGCCTTGCATGCAGGAAGTTCCAGGTTCAATCCTCAGCATCTCCAGGAAGGGCTAGGAGCATAGCTGTCAACTTTCAGATTTGAAAATAAGGGATCAGCAGCCTCACCTGTCCCAGGGACAGTCTACGGGATATCTAACAATCCGGGATAGCAGTGGGAAGCAGCGGGATATGGCGCTGGAATAAGGGAATTTCCCACAAAAAAAGGGAAGGTTGACAGCTATGGCTAGGAGAGACACCTTGCCCAAAACCCTGGAGTGCTGCTGCCAGTCAGTGTAGCCAATACTGAGCTAGATGGACCCCATGGTTGGACTTGCTATAAAGCACCCTCTGATGTTCTTATGAATTGTTAACTCTCCTTGTTTTTAAAGTAAGTTTCTAGCCCTCTCACTTGGGGAGATACAAGGAAAACCCATACAGGCAGGATGCTGCTACAAAGTCTTATTAAGAAGCCGCCCAATGAGATTGCTTGAAACGGATCTGGCTACCTGTAGTTATGGTCCCAGCTGTTTGACAGTGATTCTCTGCCTTCCACCACCCAGCCCTGTAAGGCCTCCTCTTCACATCTGGCTCAGTGCCTGACATCTGAACCACAGCATCTGCATCACAACAGCCACTCATAGTTATGGGAAATGCCTGCAGCCCGAATCCCGTTCTCAGGCTATATTTGAACTGCAAGAGTTTTCTCTCTCCAGCTTTTGGGAAGCAGCACTTGAGTGTGTGTGTGTGCTGAGGCACTGGGGTTCCCAGCTGGAGTGGTTGGGAAGAAGCGTCTCTCTGAGCCTTCAGATCAGTTTGCAGATGTTGTTAAGGAAATGCATGGTCTCCTACCCTCAACATTCTCACCATCCATGGGGGGGGGAGGGGAAAGCTTATTTATCATTTTTTGGTCAAGGGCTAGCTGAAATCAGCTGATAAATTTCCCTCGGAAAGAGAGCAATCCCAAACAACGTTTAAGGCATAACAAACGACTCAAGTTCTTCAAAGCAGTGAGGCAAACCTTTTTTTTTTAATAACCTTGTTTGGCATGTACATACCCAGTGATTCAGGACAGAGGGAGAGGCAGGAAGGAGAAAAAAGTCACCAATTAACTTGCAAGATTTTGACTTTAAAATGTTTTGGCTTTCTCAGAGCCCAGAACATGAGATTGGCAACAAAACAATAAGAATCTCTTTAAAAAAAAAAACAAAACTTGTTCTGCTACCGGGGGTGGGGTGGGGTAAATACCGCAGGCAAGGTCTGATGTTTAGCCCCAAAGAGCTCTGAAACTAGCATCTGTGTATAAAAATTATAATCTCGTGACTTTTAAAACTAGACCTGTGCTATTTTAGGAGGCACCAGCTTATTGTTTCTGAAACCTTAGCAATCGTCCCGTTCTTCCCCGCAATCTTACCACCTGTGTTTCCAAGGGAGGCTGGGTGGGTTTGGGTGTAGTGAGGAGTACCAGCCCCCACCAACCCCCCCACCCCACCCGCCCCATTGCAATCCTAAGTCTTCTTTCCATTTCTAGGCAAATAGTTCTTTTCACACACAGTGGGGGAAGTTGAAGAGGGGATCTTTATAAGGCAAGAATTGAACAGGCCCTTGAGAAGGAAATCAATCTGTTCAGCAGCATCTCAAAGGCATCTCTCCTCTGGCAGGAGACTTGGGCTTGGCCACTGGCAGACTGACTAAGCAGCCGCTGCTGCAAAACGTTCTATATACACGTTCGCTCCTGGCAACACCAGGCATGACATGGCAAATCCCAACAGCACACGCCGTCTTCCAATGCAGAGTCAGTTTCCGCAACCCGTTTCTGCAACAACCTCCCGGGAAGGCTCCCTGCTCAAGCCACTGATAGGCTCCTTCGCTGGCTCCAACAGCCTATCAGAAGACTCGCCCCGGCTTTCCAGTTTTGCATAGTTGACCAGGCCAATGTGGTCGAGTCTAGGCCAGCTCCTGTGCTTCCTGTCTTTGACTGGCGCCACTAGCACTACCCCTGGCTGGCCGAGATCCAGGGACTTGGAGTGACCCGCATTAGGGATCTGAGTGTCCGAGCTGAATTCCCTCTTTGTGCATTCGGGGTTCAGGAGTCTTTCCACCGAGGTGGCTGAGGAAGGCTCAACATTATCCATATCAATAACCACGTGGCTGCCTCTGAGCTCGCCTCTCCGGGGAGCCGTGGCATTGCACCCCGGGAGGACGGTCCACGAGAGCCTCAACACCTCGTCCTTCTCCTCTGGCAAGCGGAGGCAACTGGCTTCCAAGTCCCGGATGGCTGCTCGAGAAACTCGCTGGCTTTCAAGGAGACAGTTGTTGAGTTTAATGAGAGGCAGAGACAGGGCATTGACGGCTGAGATGACTGACTCCGCGCCGTGGGCAAAAGGGAGGCCACGGTTATCCGGCACGGTGTTGCCAGAATCCGAGCGGACGCTCAGGAGGGAAAGGGACGGCGAGACGCTCTTGTGGAACTGGGTGGTGGCCTGTAGCCTGTTTGAGTCGTAAGCGTTGGACCACTTGGCGGCTGGGCTGGAGCAAGACTGGAAGCCACTGGAGGAGAGGTCCACCTCGTAGCAACCTTCCACACAGTCTGCGTTCGCCTGGACAGAGGACAAGGTAGGCCTCCTCTGAAAGTAGCTGCTTGCCTGGCTGGTGTCCTGTGGGAGCCTCAAACTCATGGAGTAGAGCTCCCTCTGCATCAGCAAGCGGGTCTCCATGTCTCTGTTCTCGTACAGCATGGTGTTGGCACAGATGAAGATGAAGAGGCCGATGCCCATGATGACAGGCCCAATGAGCTTCAGCTTCTCGCTGTGAGGTAAGGGGCGAGGGTGGGCCAAGGCCTTCACTTCCTTCTTGATGTCATCGGTGGCGTTGCCCGGCCGGCTGCCTCCTCCGGACCTGGCACGGTGAGGCCAGTAGCCGATGACAGCGATGGTCATGCCCACCAGCACCACTGAGACGCCCACCATCACAAAGGCTCCCGAGGTAGAGCGCATGCGCAGCTGGCCCTTCACGGTCACCTCGGAGGGGGCCTTGCGTCGGAACCTGCGCCGGTGCCATCGGGAAGGGGCGCTGGCGGGTGTTGCGGGTGCGTTCCCTGAAGGGGGCTGGTTCTTCATGGCTTCAGCAGGGCCTCCGGCTGTCACCATCCCCGCGTCGTCCGCCAGCCATCTTGACAACAAAGAGAGAAGGTGTTAAGGAGAGGGAGGCATGGGAAAGAAGCAGAGGCGACTTCTCCACTGGGAAATAGTAGCAATAATACACTCGCACCCCACCCTACTTCCTGGCACATAGGAATCTGCCTGCTACCAGTTCAGATGATTGATCTGCCTAGATCAACATAAGGATGGGGAATGTGTGGCCCTCCAGATGTTGTTGGACTACAACTCCCATCAGCCCCAGCCAGAGTGATCAACGGTAAGCAGTGATGGAAGTTGTAGTCAAAAACATTTGGAGGGACCTGTCCTTGGTCTACACTGACTGGCAGCAGTTATAATTATTATTATTTATTGAATTTATATATCGCCCTGTACCCGGAGGTCTCAGGGTGGTTCACAGAACAAAATCAAAATATAAAAGCACAAAATATATAATCAAAATAAAAACAACAACCCAATAACTCCTAGGGTCTTTTTCAGTCCTAGCTGGATATGTCAGGGATTAAACTTGCTACCTTCTGTATTCCCAGGTGCTCCACCACTGAGCTATAGAGCACGAGACTCTTAATGTCAGGGCCGTGGGTTCGAGCCCCACATTGCGTAAAGGTTTCCTGCATTGCAGGGGGTTGGACTAGATGATCCTCATGGTCCCTTCCAATTCTACGATCCGATGGCCCTTCCCCTTCCTTTGGCAAAGTTTAGCCTAATATCCCCAAATACGGTGTCCTCAAGGTGCCCTACCCCTAAAGTACAATCCTCCCCCAATATTTCCAGGTCATGGTTTGAAGGCATGTGATGCTGCCACCTTCTTGAAGCTAAGCAAGTCCTGAACTGGTCACTGCCTGGTGGGAAAACCACAGTGGAACACAAAGCATAAACCACCTTCATTTCTATGACTAAAGAAACGTGGGATATAATATACACATTATCTCTGCATATCATGCATAATATATAAATAACAGTGCAATAAGTGTTATAGACTCCATTTTAAAAGGTACTTTTTTATGTTGCTGCATCCCCCCAGAAGAGATTTACAAATTGAAACTTCTCTAGGCTTATGTTTTAAACATAAAGGCAAGTTCTCTGCAGAATCTTTGCATATAAGGCCATCCGCCCACCAGCCCCCCCATCAATTTACCCAATCCACAAAGGGTGGCACAAACAGAGAAAAGAGGTGCTGCAATGCCAGCAGAATGAAATAGCAAAAGAGCTCAGGCAAGTGAGCCAAGTTGCGTTTTACAGGAGGGAAGTGAGGGGAGTCACTGGCCAAACTAACCTATGAGGAATATCCTTCCCAAATGCAGCAACCAACCAGACTGTACCAGCAAAACTCAACAGGTGGCGTATATCTATGCCATTCGATGATCATAGTTAAGAGGAATTACAGTGTGTTGGGACTTAAGCAACACAGCAAGCTGCAGTTGGTCTAAATCAGAAACGAAACCTTCCAGACCTCCTTGCACCCGATCTGTACCAGAGAAGATCTAGGTGTGGGTGGGTGTGTAAACTCAGGGTTTACCTAGACTCATTCACGTAACACTAATTATGGTTAAGTATTACAACTGAACCAACACATTCTAATTAATAAATTTCAAGAACGGGTCCTATTTTACTTGTTTGGGGCTCAAAGTGGATCTCAGATCAGAAGCCATCGGGGCAACACTTTGTTCTATTCAAGAGGCAGAAGGGGTACCAGCAAATCCAACAGAAAACTCCTCCTTTCCATGTTCTTCATTTGAAGGTATTATGAGTCTCCCAGGAAGGAATTAAGTGTTTGAACTTTAGAATGTAAAATGTGTTCTTGTCCCAAACTGTCAACCTACGACAATTTCTAGGAAGGAGATTATTTATTTATATATATATATATATATAGAAAAGATGTCGGGGAGAGGCAAGATAACATTTCAAACTCAGCTAATCCTTTGGCAACATGAATTTAAGCCCTTCCTCTTGACGGAGCAACCCCCTGCAGCTAACCTTTGTCTCTTCCAGGTGCCAGCCAGCAGAAAAAAAAAATCCACCATAACAGGCGTTTCTAAGCTTGCCTTCAAATTTTCCCAGAGATTATTCCCCGCTGCCTGCCCCACTTCAGCCTGCAGTGGCTCGAAATGTGCTTGTCCCGTCAGCCTGCTGCTGAGAATAACTCACTTTAATTACCATCTGAGATGTGACCTACCTTAAACTGTTACAGTAAGCTGCTTAATCTCCTGCTGACAAGGTAGGTGGTACCAGCCCTTCCAAACTTTTTCTTTTTGCAAAACCCATGAGGCGCCGTTGCAAATTACCATCACATGTTGTTGGGTCAAGCAGGGACAACCTCTTCCTTGAAAGATTTCACCGTCAAGGGGTCGTCAGGGTCCAAGCATCGCCAAGAAGGGGCTCAGATTCAGCCAACTCACAGGCCACCCCCATTGGTGTAGGCAGCTCTCAGTGCCTGCTTCAATACTGCCCTGCCTCTTCTCAGACTCCTCTCTTAGTTTTCTCCTGTTCCAAACGCACGCAGGAGGATGCTATCGCAGAATCTGCCAGGGCCCTTTCAGGCAGCGGCCACCAACTGTGGGCGCCGGTCACAAAATGGCTGCCGCGGTGTTTATGGCCCAACGCAAAATGGCTGTTGTGGCAGGGCGCAGCGGAATGCAAAATGGCTGCCGTGGGTGAGTGGCAAAGCCCACATCTAAAAGAGTGGGGGGGGGAGCAGGAACACAAAATGGATGCAGGTATGCCCCCCCACCCCCGTTAACAGAAAGGGCAGCTATATCAGCCACAACTGCACTAACTCATAGAAAGAAACCCTTTGCCCCTGGGTATTGTGGAAGAGTTCATGGTCTTCTAGCATTCCCAGTCATTTCAATGGAACTTGAGCAGGGGAGCTTGCCACAGGGCACTATCCAAGCTACTGAAATAAACGGGATAGCTGAAAGCACACGGGCTCTGGCACAATTCCCATTTGTTTCAGGAGGACTTGCCGTTGGGATTACGCCTCGTGGCAATAAACTGTTGCACAGCTATTAACCGTCACACACTCAGCTGGTCCTCTTCTGCGAAGAACAGCCTTGAATGCTTGGCTTTAAGTTTCCCTGCATGCTCTGGTCAAAGTCTACCTTGATTTCTGCCTTTCCTAACTAGCAATGAATCAACTTCACCATTTCCCCTCTAGGGCTGGGCGATAGATCGATATATTGTCCCAAACTGGTTTGTAGTCCATATAGTGTTATTGGTTTCATAATTTTTGACCTGGCAATATATTGTGAATCATGATGTTTGTGTGTGCTATGCAAAAATCTCAATGTGGGGGAAACCCGAAGCCAGCCAATGCCTCTACATAAAAAAGGTAAAGGACCCCTGACTGTTAAGTCCAGTCACGAATGACTCTGGGGTTGCGGCGCTCATCTCGCTTTACTGGCCGAGGAAGCTGATGTTTGTCTGCAGACAGTTTTTCTGGGTCATGTGGCCAGCATGACTAAGCTGCTTCTGGCGAAACCAGAACAGTGCACGGAAACACCGTTTACCTTCCTGCCGGAGCAATACCTATTTATCTACTTGCACTTTGTGCTTTCGAACTCCTAGGTTGGCAGGAGCAGGGACGAAGCAACGGGAGCTCACCCTGTCGTGGGGATTCAAACCGCTGACCTTCTGATCGGCTAGCCCAAGAGGCTCAGTGGTTTAGACCACAGCGCCACCAACGTCCCTACATATTTCAGACATTGTGATATATTGGTAACATATCGCGATATTTAGCTGGTGGCATGTCACGATGCTGAAAACCAGCTATTGCCCAACCCTATTCCCCACGTAGACCATTGAAGTTGTGTTTACACTATTCCACTATGGAGAGGAGGAGTACTGAACTGTGGGAAACAGGAGGGCAAATCCAAGTACTCTGATCTCCACTCAAGGTCCTCCTTTAATGTTATGACGTCTAAATACATGGAAAGGGCTGAGACCAGGTCCCTAGGCACACAAACCAGAGGTCGAGATCAAGGAAGGATATAGTTAGCTAACTCTGGTGCAAAAAATAAAAAGAAATGCCTAGACTTTCAATTTGGCCCCGTGCTAAAAGGCAGCGTTTATATGTCATCTGAAAGCAACCTCGATTCGTCTGGCATCAGCCAAAGTTGAATTTAAAAAGCTGAGGAAAAAGGGAACACAAAGCAGAGCTAGGGAAGGCTGTTCTTTGTATGGAGTTCAAGAGCATGGCTTTATTATTAGAATTCCCAAGAAAGGTTGCGTAAGATATATATGTCTAGGACTCTTTGACATTGTCGCTCAAGTTAACTGATTAATTCTATACTTTACAGCAAGGCACATTCGACTTAGCTAAATATAAAGTCAGCAAAGGAGGTTGCTTTCAATGACCATTTGTGATCCAGCTCCAGAATCTACCCACCTCTTATTAAAAAATACTCTTCCACTCGCCCCTGCCCCAACCACTTCATTTCAATTTTGGGGAGGTGGGGGTGGCGCTAGGGCTTGTGACAGCTCAAGGGAAGAGAAATGCTCCAGAAATTTATGTGTTATTAGCATCATAGAACATTATGACAGCTCAGTGCCTTGGCTGGGACTCTGAGAGTTTAAGCTTTCAGGTTTTGTAAGATAGCATTTTTCATTTTTTTTAATAAAATGGAATTATTTCCCTAATTCAATGTATCAGAGTTTTGATAGCTGAGCTACACTGGCATACCATTGGGGTGGGGGGAGAACTTCAGATTTATATCTGGAGAGGAGCGTTTGGAACTTGCAACAATTTCACCCAAGCAGGAGTTTAATAGCTATTCAGATTCCTCAACAGCAGGGCTGGGGAAGTTCAGACACTCCAGATGTTGTTGGCCATACTACCTGGGGCTGATGGGAGTTGAAGTCCAAAACATCTGGAGGGCCACAGGTTTCTCAGTCCTGCTCTATATAGCAAGGTGAAGGGAACTGGATTGGGCTGGCGGACCTGATCCCTGCCCCCCTCCGCTCTCCACATTTGACAGATCAGCTTGAAGGGACTTTTGATGCTTGCATAAATCC